TGGCTTTTATTGCCTTTTGTTTCTGTGCCTTCCTATCTGCAATTGTCCATGTCTGCTGCTTCTTCTGCTCCCTTTCCTCAGTACCTGCAAATGGAGGAGGAATCATACTTTGAAACTCTTGTTATTATTTGATTCTCTATCTCTAACCCTCCCTCTCTTTCTCTCTCCCTATCTCTATCTTTTAGCATTTTGGCTTGGTATCCTCATCATCATCATCATCATCTCCAACCATGACTTTTCTTCTTGTTTCTACTCATCTTATTCCACCCTTCTCCTGTTTTGCTTTCTGGGTTGTGGGTACTCCCTAAAAATTTGAACTTTGTTAGCCATGATTTGACCCCATTTCGCTATTCTTCTCAGTTTTTAGTTTTCTGGGTGTTTCTAGTTTGAATTCCTTTCCTTTTTCCCCAAAGAGAAAATTTCCTGTTTTATGGGAGTTTTTGTTTCGTGGGTTTTGGTTATCATGTTGGGTTGAATAAAAAATTTTATTGTCTGCAAGAACCCACATAGGGGGTGGGGGGGGAAGGTGTGTTCATGGAAATTGATCTGAACTATGCAGCGACAGAGGTGGTGGAGAAGAGTAATACAAATGTTCCTTGTAATGGGGACTGTCACAAGGCCAGTGGGTGTGTTAGCTGCTGTTTGACTTCTTCATCATCTTCTTCTTCCTCTTCCAATTCATCTTCAGCTCCTGGTTCTTCTTCACCTTCTTCAATTTACTTGGAGCTTTGGCATGCCTGCGCTGGTCCTCTTACTTCGCTGCCCAAGAAAGGGAATGTGGTTGTTTACGTCCCTCAAGGCCATTTAGAACAGGCTGCTGCTGCTGCCTCTGCATCTCCTTTCTCCACCATGGAAATGCCCACCTTTGATCTCAATCCCCAAATCTTTTGCAGGGTTGTTAATGTCCAACTCCTTGTAAGTACTCGTATTCCTTTCTTTTCTCCTTACATTGATCTTTCTCTTTTCTAGGCTTGTTTTTGAATTTTGGGTACAATCATAATCTCTGCGAAAACAGGCCAATAAGGAGAACGATGAGGTATACACGCAGGTTACTTTGCTTCCTCAACCAGAGGTACCATTTTCTCATTGGGTTTTCTTTTTCTCAATTTTCAACTTAAATTCGAAAGGCTCATGCTTTAGAAGTTTCTATTGATGATGATATGAAAATTGTAAATGTCGGGGGAGTGGGGTTGTATAGTTTGTAGGGCTGAATTCAGAGGGCAAAGAGGCTGCAGAATTGGGACTGGAAGAAGAAGGAAGAGGAGGGTCACTTACAAAATCAACCCCTCACATGTTCTGCAAAACACTAACAGCTTCTGATACTAGCACTCATGGTGGATTCTCTGTCCCTCGTAGAGCTGCTGAAGACTGTTTCCCTCCTCTGGTATGATTTTATTTTCTTTTTCCTTTGATTAAGGATTGAAAAAAAGCTAATTTCACTGTTTCTTTTAAGAAGAAAAGCTACCTGCAGCTTGTTGGCAACATGGTTGTTTTACTGGATTGCAGGACTATAAGCAGCAGAGACCCTCTCAAGAGCTTGTGGCCAAGGACCTTCATGGAGTAGAGTGGAGATTTAGGCATATATATAGAGGTAAATGGTGTGGAAAGAAATTCTTCTTGTACTTCAAATTGAAGGATAATTATGTAATTGGATACTTTATAACATTGCAGGTCAACCAAGGAGGCACCTGCTCACTACTGGATGGAGTATTTTTGTAAGTCAAAAGAATCTTGCTTCGGGCGATGCTGTGCTCTTTTTGAGGTATGTATTCATAGATGTCAAATGAGAATGGTTCTATTTTGTTCTCCACTATAGCCAAAGGGTATAATTCCTGGTTAAAATTAGTAATTTTCCAAAAAGAGTATGTAAACAATCAGTACAAGGAAACTCATTATTTAGAAGTGTTCGAGTACTAAAACTGAAAACGCTTTGTTCAGAATTCAGAAAGCTATTCTGGTCCATCGAAAGAAATTGACCTATTTTTCGTGCATTCAACATTAAACTTGATTTTTTAAAAACAAAAAAAATGGAAGCTCTCTGGCTCTACTCCATGCCTATTCAAATTTCTGAATTCCCAATGCATGAAAAGAACTAACGAAGAACAGTATCAGAGTGTTATCTGATTGACAAGAGGACGACCAAAATTGTTATTGCTATTTAGTTAAGTCTTAAAGTGCATTTTGCGGATGTTTGTAGGGGCGAAGATGGAGAGCTAAGGTTGGGAATTAGAAGAGCTGCTCGACCAAGAAATGGACTTCCTGATGCAATTATTGCAAAGCAGAATTCTTATCCCAGTATTCTTTCTCTCGTGGCTAATGCAGTATCCACCAAGAGCATGTTTCATGTTTTCTACAGTCCTCGGTAAATGATTCCAACCTGCATTTTAAAGGAAATATATATATATATATACATATTTACACAAATAAATTTGGAGATATTTTTTACCCTTCAATTCCATTGCATGGCATCATATCGTTTCATTTTGTGACTATAAAAATGCTCGGTACCTGGATGGTACCAACAAGTATGTGATTCACCCTTGGCTAAACCATATTGTACTACAACTGAATATAGTAGCCCCTAAATAGTGTTAGGTTGTCTCTTGATTTCCTCAGGTTGCCGATCATAGTAAATCTTTGCTATATTTTTCTCTTTTACTGCATATAAATAGCGTGTTCTCTGTATTCAGGCAAATAGGTGAGATTGGATGTATTGAAGACTATAATTGATTCTGAGAGAGGATTTTTCTTTTGAATCCAAGTTCACTAAATAGGGCATTTGGTGCCCCATTTCTTCTAGACATAGATCACATTGTTCAGACACGTAATCGGTCAAACAATATGACTAATTTTTCTATTTTCTTTCTTCTTACTCGTTTGTTTCTATCATCTTTGCACAACAAATAGTTTACATGGGACGTAAATTAGCTTCTTTCTTTGAACATGGGACGTCATCTGGTTGATCGATTTACATTTTTGCTAGCCCTCCTTTAATTATAACATAAATACAAGAACCAGCTTTTTTGGCTGCTGTCCTGTTGCATAGAGTTCCAAGTATTTCATCCTGAATTTCTATCAAGGGCAGAAAAAATCAGTGATTTTACTCAAAGCCTTGTAGATAAACCACCGGAATTTAACCTTTTCAGCTTGACTTGGTATTTACAAGTTTTCTTTCTTATTATAGCTCTATGAAGATTATAATTTCAAATTGATTGATCATCTATTCACTTTTCATCTCAGGGTTGGCACTCCCTTTTCGGGTTTCTAGCATATCCTTAACACTATTATAGAGGAATGCTGCGTGCAATAGGAAACGTAATGAATGAGTCTTTACGGAATTCTTCTATTCATCTATTCAGGAAAACATATAACCTTAACATAGATATCTCCCCCTCCCTTTTCTTTTCTCTATTGAGAATTTTACATAATTGAGGTGCTAGTTAAGTCCTGGTTAAAGGTTCCACACCGATTTTCTATTATGGTGAAAAGAAGGAATGTGATTATCATGTATGATACTCTTATTACACTTAAGATAGAAATATGATTGATAAGTTCAAGTTGATCACAAGTAACAACTTGAGGTTTTCGACCTCGCATAGTCTTTGACACATTACAAATTAATGTTGAGTCACTTGAACTCTTATATGAGTTTCTCAATTATATTTTTATCTGGTGTAGTATAATGGTATCGCAAAATATATCTTGGAGCCTTGGTCATAATGGCAAATTGTAAAAGTTGCATTACATAAATATTTCAGGGGATTGAGATAAAAGATGTATTTTTGATAATTTGGAAGGGATGATGTGTAAGCATCAAATAAGAGTATGAACAGGCTACAACCTAGGCTTTAGAAACCATAACTTATACTATCATGAAGAGATGAAGTAATTTTCTTATTCTATTTTTTTTAATAAATAGATTACAAAGAGTTGGTTTAGAAAACCATTCCGATGACCCTAGACTCCATGAAGAATAAGTTTAGTTCATTTTTTTTTTCATATATAATTTTTTTCTTTTAAAAAAGGATTTCATAAGTATTACATTGTTGGTATATCTGGAATATATGTGTAATACCTTAATAGCACATAAGGAAGATACGTGATTATTGAACTTTATATTAAAAGTTCAAATTACACACTACTAATAGTTTGAGCTTAAACTTTTAAGAACTATTAGTTTTTGTTGAAAAGTTGTTGGTCTAGTAGTGTTTGGACCTGAGGTATTACAAATGGTATTAGAGCACGTGGCAGCTTGGTCACTCCAACAGGTACAATTTTGGACCTTCTAGGCTTTTGAATTGTGATTTGTGATTGTGTGATGTGTGATTTTGATGAAAATATTAAAAATTTGAGTGGTGGAGATTGTGATATCCTGGTCTCACATTAGAAACATACATGATTGTTGAGCTTCATATAAGAGCTCAACTCACATGCTATCAAGAAGTTAGGTTTTTGAAAATTAATGATTTGAGTTTGAAAAGTTGTTGGACTAGTGGTGCTTGGATCCGGGACCATATAATATGTATTCATGATTTTTCATAACGACAAAACAATTGATAATCAAATTTTCAATAAATTTCGGTCTCTTTTTTTCCTTTACTCTACATGTGTTCTGTGTCATTGCTTGTCATGTGGCTTCTGGCTGGCTAGATATAATCTAAGCAGGTTCAAGTGCTTGGAGAGCATATCGACTGAAACCAATAAGATTAGCTTTATATAGTGTACCTTTAGTCTTCCTCAAGGTCGTTTACAGTATCTGGTTCTAAAGATCAATATATATACATATATATATATATATATATGATTTGGTCCGTGAGGCCTTCATGGGAGAAATGGAATGTCAATTCACTATGAAAACAAACTGGAGGTTATAAATGTTTAATACACATTCTCAAGTTCTAGTTCTAATATGTACAACTTATGGAAAAACTGAATTAAACTTGTTCTTGAACAGAAAGCAATGTACATCACAGAAAAGTGCCTAGGTTTGAATTTCTTAGCTTAGGAAAGACTTCTCGAGTGATAATTAGTCGTTAGGAAAACAGTACGTATAATTTGACGAAAACTGAAGAAAAAAACTTTTCTTGTATTTGATCCGATAGCTTTCCGCATATCCACCGATGTACATTTACTTTTCACTTGCAGCATTGCTGTACACAGGAATCTTTCTCTGTGCTTATTGGTATTTATTTCATGTCAGAAACTAAAAACTGTTTGGCATGTTTATATGCAGGGCTAGTCATGCGGAATTTGTTATACCCTACCAAAAGTATATCAAAAGCATCACCAGTCCAATATGTATTGGGACAAGATTCAGAATGAAATTTGAGATGGAAGATTCGCCCGAAAGAAGGTCTTTGCTTCATAGATATGCTGCATGCTTGAAATCGTTATAGCTTTCTTCTGGGAAATATAATCAGTTTCCTTTTTTTCTTGCAGATGCAGTGGCGTAGTGATTGGAATTGGTGACTTGGATCCACATAGATGGCCTAACTCGAAATGGAGGTGTTTGATGGTGAGCTTTGTTAGTTACTATTTTGATATACCAACTAAAGATATAACTCTTTTAAATCGTAAATTAGTAGCGGATTATTTGTTTTCGAATTTCATTGCTCCTCGTGCCAAATACATTAACCAAATCCTTTTTCGTGTCAACGTGGGATACATCATGCAAAACAACATAAATAAATGGACGTGGGTTTACATTCTAATTCATCCATTAAGGCATCCGAGTTACACATTCACCACGCATCATGAAAATATATATTGAATTCAAATGTATTCTTGTACACGACTAACAGGTTAGATGGGATGAAGACATGGTGAGTGATCACCATGAACGAGTTTCACCATGGGAAATTGATCCTTCTGTTTCTCTTCAACCCTTGAGTATTCAGTCTTCTCCAAGGCTGAAGAAACTGCGTACAGGAATGCAGGCAACTCCACCTGACAATCCTGTAACCGGTACATATCTCTTTGCTTAAATAACAGATACTGTTTCCATATCTTTCTCCACACTTACTAATTTTTCCTTGCAGCAGGAGGAGGTGGTTTTTTGGACTTTGAGGAGTCTGTGAGACCCTCTAAGGTCTTGCAAGGTCAAGAAAATGTAGGTTTCGTATCACCCTTGTACGGATGTGATACTGTGAACCGCTCGCTGGATTTTGATCTGCAATCCAATGCACATCAAAGTCTTGCGTCAACCAGAACAGAAAATTCTAAAATCAGTGAATTTATGAGGGCTCAGCCCCAAACTTACGCAAGCTTTGCAGAATCCAATAGGTTTCCTGGGGTCTTGCAAGGTCAAGAAATTTGTCCATTTAGGTCTCTGAGACAAAATGCTGACTACAATATTGGTTCATGGGGAAAGTCAAATCTCAATTTCAACTCTTTCAATATCTATCAAGCAACCAAACCCAGTCTCTATCCGCTAGCTTCAGAAGGCCCTCGAAATATATACTTTCCTTATGGTGGCATATATAGAGCCGGCCAAGATCCTATGATCCGACCTTATGCAACTAACTTCCCAAGAGAGAGTGTTACATTTGCAACATCTTCAATTCAGAATCGGATAATTGGGGATGGAATTAGAAACCCAAGTCTTCTGAAAGAGCATAAGCCACCGGAAAATATCCCTACTGCATCTTCTTTCAAGACAAATATCGGATGTCAAAAGGAAGAAGGCTTTAATGGGACTGGATGTAAACTTTTCGGATTCTCCCTAACTGGAGAAACAGCAACTTCGAACCCTCAAAGCTCTGGCAAAAGGAGTTGTACAAAGGTACTCTTACTCTATCCTAGTGTCAAGGTTGGATAACATTCCTCTTTCTGATTTCTGCTGCTAATATTATGCAAGTCATATGAAGGTTAGCAAGCAAGGTAGCTTGGTTCGAAGGGCTATCGATCTCTCAAGATTAAACGGGTATGATGAACTGTTGAATGAACTTGAGCGCCTGTTTAGCATGGAAGGGCTTTTACGAGATCCTGATAAAGGATGGAGGGTCTTGTACACTGACAGTGAGAACGATGTGATGGTCGTTGGCGATGATCCATGGCAGTAAGCATCTTTTTACTAGAATTAGTATACTGTTTGTTCATCATTAATGTTATAAAATACACCTTAACATCTCTGTGCCAGTATATGTGTTAAAAAAAGAAAGGAACC